TGGATTTAAGGTGAAATTTAAATAAATTTCAGTATAATCAGGGGTGGGAAAGCATGAATAGTGACAATTCTGTCACAATGACATCATCTACCAGACACAATTGTTTTATGTTGTTGGTCCTACAAGGAATGAAACTAATTTTCAAACATAACAAATTACTTCCCCCCGTCTCGCCCTATTTTTCCCATTTAGTAATTCTATAGAAAGATAAAATTGCTGTAGAACCAGAGGACACAGTGGTCTCAGAAGAATGTAGAAGAAAATGAGTTGGGTATGGCCATGTAGAAGAGTAATACTCACTTTCTAAGGCACTTAGAAATCACTTACTGTGATTTTCAGGCCACGTTACATTCTCCTTGTGGACCTCTTCCCACACGTCTGGAACTTAGTGCTCTACCTGATAATTTGATTCCACTTGGACCGTAATGCAAGCAACAATGAAAACCACAGAGGCTATTGAACTTTCAGAGGCAGCAGACTATATAAAATAGGATGAATTCCTTGGACACACAAAGGTTTCTCTTTTTTCATCATAGAAAGTCCCAACTTAGTGAAGTCATATGAGAGGAACTATGTAGTTGAGTCATTCACAGAGATTTGATTCTTACAATCTTCTAACAATCATGTTAGAAAGCAAGTCAAAGATCAAGAATTTTTTCCCTTGTCTGTTATCTCTGTTATCCCAGATAGGAAATTTCTGCCAGCTCTTGGACAAAGAGCCAAATTTATACCTACTGTAAATCAATTACATTCTACTTTGTGTTATACTTATATTGTAACATTCATTACATATAAACTCCAGCTTAATGCACATACACACACTGGTGTTTGTCTGTTAGATATGTCATGATTTAATTAAATACTTCTGCAACTTCATACAATATCAGTTGAAGGCAATCACTGTCCAACAAAATCAGCTGAAGCTGTTGATTGTATCTTTATCTACAGTGGCTGAATTTGAGTCTGTAATTCTCTGCCTCTGGTGACAAGGATAGAAGTGATACAGTTTACATAAGGAGCAACTATTGCCTGCTCTAATGGCTACACAATGCAGTGTGAAAATGCCAGAGTCTTGACTACAGCCCAATTTCTACAGCTCCACAAAAAATAGAATTGTGTTGGTGGTGAATTACAAGGGCTATTTTTCCTAGACTAGGCGAGGCCATGACAATCAAATATTTGAACTTGATATTTGATTAATGCTGGCAGCATTCTATAAGTGATTTCCACTTGACAACGTCTAATTATTTAATTATTTCCCATTATTAATGGAATGAAACAATTCAAAACAAACAGATAGAATGACTGTTTTGCACGAAGCTCGTAATCATCAATTCATATATGTAGAAATCTTCCTAAAATTATATTAAGCTGGCCTGTTGAACTTGAAAGGCATATTTTATCCCAATCAATGCATAAAAGTAAAATTATCCATAACTAAGGCATGTTTCTCTGCTGTACAGTTCAGTTGTAATGATCCCCACACACTGCACTTGCACATCAATTATGATAATCATAATCACGGTCGTTAAGCTGAATGTTCATTATTATCAGGATGCTGGTGACAGCAGATTCAATCATCGGGTGCAATGGGCAGGCAGTCACAGTCCCACCCAAGTTTCTGCAGACACCGTTGTGCCACATTAAATCTATGATGTGTTCCACATCCCACTCCATTCCAAAAGCTGTAGACGGTAAAGGTCAACTTTATGTTCTGTGCAATATGCTTAGGTTCTCTAAATTAATTCTTTGCAGTACTAGGTATTTTTATGCTTTGTAGATAATAAAATTCTGTTTAGGGCCAAAATGCCCGTGCAAATAACGAAACAGTGATGCAGTTGTACTGTAATTCACCTATAATAAGGCATCAGAGGAAAGAATCTATCAGGAAGGAACATCTTAAAATGTCACTTCCTGAATTTTGCAAATAAGAAAACATTAAATGCTGTCATTAAAGTCAGTTTTCTAAAATGTGTAGGCAAACTAATTCCAATACCGATTAAAGGCTGTAAGCTATCATTTCTGCCTCAGTAAATGCAAACATATGTGAGTGTTTTGACATCTGAAAGATTACAGTTAGTGTGCTTGATCCCTTGACTGTCCAGCTACATTGGAACCTATCATTGCAGATTACATTTATAGTGACTGGTAAATTCTTTATATTGATACTTCTCACATAAATTCTATGAAAGGCATTCCAAGTTATTTAGACATACAATATTAAACTTAAAATATGCAAGCATTTTTATTTTTATAGTGGTTTACAACTGGGTAAACTAACTAGATTCAGATTCACTAGAGGTAAAGTATTTCCATTTCTTCTTTATTTTTAATGAAGAATTAGAATACAATAGGTTTTCCCTTAACTCAGGAACTTCAAAATGTAAACAGAATGAGATTAAAATTTTCAGATTGTAACTAGATGAAAAGAAGAACTATTAACTTTTCCTCACATATCTATGATAATTATTATTTTTAGAGGAAGTCTACACTAATACCCTTTCATTTTCCAGAAGAAATATAATAAGGCAATATTTTTCATTGTTGTTAATTTTGCTTCTAAAGTAATTATGTAATTTACATACTAATCTTTTTGTGACTTGAATTAAAATGCATACTTATAAACACATGAAAACCTCAGGAAAATAAAACTAAGACATGCTCATGAGCATACACAGTGAAACTTTTTTATATGTAGCTTAAAAAAAGCCAACTAATACTATCTAATATCAAATAATACATCATAAGTTCAGAGGGGTCACTGATCCACTGACCACTGAACTGACTCCCTGGAAGAACTTGCAGAGCAGTTTGTCTTACCAGCAATGATAAGTGGAATTTCTCTCGTATAATGCTGTCAGAAGCGGAATATACATCACGGCAGGGCTAACACCCATTCAGGTTGTAATAGAAGTTGCATCCACAGAAATAGCACTTCATGGGAAACTTAAAGGAGGGATGTTCTTAGCAGACAAAGTATTAAGCAAAAATTTAATTGGTTTTGGTAATATTTGGATACATGCCCTTTACCCCGGTGATTCATTAAAACAGGATAATTTTGTTCATAGCACTTATATATACAAAGTTTTAATACAGTTTAGAAATAAGAAAGTGACAGACAGTTCTTTCAAATTTAACAGTTATGAAAGTATGACCTCATACTTGCCTACAGGACATTTTCCATTAATATAGTGAGGAGGTGGAGTTTGGTTTTGGTTTTTTTTTTTTCCTCATAATGACCCATTAAAGTAGCAGGTAGGTCATAAATAGCTCTTTTCTCCTCTTATCTCTCTGTTTGGGTAAGCGGCTCCTAATTGAAGCTTCATATTGATTTAGAATTGGGGTTGAAAGGCTGTATGTCATGTTGGGTTAATGTATATAGCTATTCACCTCCAGAGATTTAGATTGAAATCTAGCCAAGATTACAAGTAAAGTGAGTTTAGTTGTTTCAGCTAAGCCCATAATTTATATAATATTATATATGTGTCATATGATATATAATATAAATATGTTTAGGTTGCTTGATATCATCATCTGACCCTGATCAAGAACTGCAAAGGAGTTGAAAAGGAAGAGCTTTTACAGGATGAGTACCACCAATAAGAATTTTAGATCATTTTTGTATATCATATTTATGCTGTGGGACTTCAGCCAGTCATATCCTCCATGTATTGCTTTTGAAAAACACATTCAGATCTTTTTATTTAAATGTTGATCTTTGTGCCTTTATTTGCAATGAGATTTAGTTAATATATGTTAAAATAGTGAAATTTTACTTTTAGTTCATTTTTAAAGTTGAAAGTTTTGAGAAAGAGTTATTTTTAAAAATATTACTTCTCAAACTAAGACTCCTTGGAACTTGTTATATATTTACAAAGGTTAAGTTACTTTTAGGTAAATAAGTAATGATATCTTACAAAATCCCAGAATTGTTTAGGTTGGAAGACACCTCTTGAGATCATCTAGTCCAACTCCCCTACTTAGCTAGAGCAGGTTGCTCGGGGCTATATCCCGTTATGTTTTGAGTATCTACAAGGACAGAGACTCCACAACCTCTTTGGGCAATCTGTGCCAGTGCTCTGTCACAGTAAAAAAAATATTAAAAAAAAAAAATGTTTTCTTGCATTCAGATGGAATTTCATGCATTTCAGTTTGTGTCCATTGCCTCTTGTCCTGTCACTGGACACTACTGAGCCTGAGAGGAGTCTGGCACTCTCTCTTCATTCCCTCCTATCAGATGTTTATACACCTTGGTAAGGTCTCCCTCGAGCCTTCTCCAGACTGAAGAGCTCTCTCAGCCTCTCTTTATGCAAAAGATGCTCCAGTCCCCTAACTATCTTTGTGACTCTGTGCTGCACCCTCTACCAAGTCCATTATCTTTCTTGTACTGGGAAATTTTAATGTGATTATGATACCCAATACAAATAGAAGTAATGCAAACATTACACAAACTCTTGCTAGAACATGAGGAAAATTACCTCTTTATAGAACTACAAAACCAGAAATATACAAGATGCTCTTAACAAAACAGGCAATTTAATGAGACTATCATAAAATAAAAACAGCTCTTTGCTAATTTTCAGAATTTTCCAAAGAATGTAAGCAGTAAAATATTTTGTTGGTTTTAACCTGGTTTTGCCGTAACTTTCTGAAGGTCTTACCATGCAGGAGTAAATATGCTATGTCTCTTAAATCAGAAAAGGCAATACAGAAAGAACAAAACTTTGCAAAACTTATATAACCAAAGCTGTACTTAATCAGGCTTTTAAATCCTCATCTTGTAGGTGGAAGAAGAATTGAATTTCCTCAAACTGAACTTACCAGAAAGTTGAGGAAGACTGACATCTCATCACATGAGCTCTAACTATGTGATTTTGCAACATGCTAGAAAGATTCTCATTAGATTCCACAATCTCTGGCTCAGGCCCAAATTCACTTAGTTCTAATATAATAACAGTCTAAAAAACTAAACTATTCCTTAATTTTTTTCAGTGACTTACTTTGTCTGTTATCCACTTCTTAGGCTGTACTTCTCGGAAGTGTTTAATTCCGTAAGTTTGTTGCCCATATTTGCCTGACCTATGAATTGATGGGCTATACTTCTCATTTTTGTGATATGAAGAAAATGGCAGGAATCTGAAATCAAATAATATTTAAAAATCAGTTATGCTCTATTCTAGATGCCACACGATTGATGTAAATGATGCTAAGACTACAGGAGGTGACATAGACATATATGCCTGCTATTTTCCACTACTTTTAATGTTCCCCCTCAGTATTTTGAGAGGATTATTGCAATTTCTCTTATAGTTGCATTTAAATTAAATTTGGAGCAAAGAGACATAGATTTTCAACACAATAAAATGAAGACTTTCTGTATGAAGATGTAATTTGCATTACTAGATTATTACTTTGGCTGTATCTGCACTAACAAATGGTGTGACGTGAAGAGAGAATGAGCAGAGTTCAATTTGGTGAGATCTGCATATTGACACCTCAATTCTTAGCAGGCAGTGCAGTCTCGGCCGGCTGTCAGTGGCAGGCACGCACCATGCACAAGTGCAAAGATAATTTCTGAAGAACTTGCATTCACTTTACAAGTCATGTAGGCTCCCAACACAACCTCCACCTGATTGTTCCACCAGGACAGAAACAGTTGAAGCATGTCAGCAGTATAAGCCTAAACCAAGGCAAATTTGCACCAGAAAGAATCCTCTCTGTACCTTAAACTAGGTATGCAGCCTTTTATATCTGTTAACCAAAGCTAAATAAACCATATTCTCATTTAGCAGAATAGAAACTTATATAAACAGTACTCGTGACTTTCACATATTGGCAGAACACAAAGTAAATAAATTATTTCTTCTGAAATCGTAACTTGTGTACTTCACTCTCAAATTATAATTATATCCTAATTATCAAACTTTTGGAGCCTGATTCTTTCACCATTGGTCATACTGATGGTGGACTCGCTGTTTACATAGTGCCACTGAACAGTGGAGCTCCAGCTACCTGCTTTTGGCATGGAAGATGTTTTCAGATAGATGTTCCTAACTCTCATGGACAGCTACAGGTTTTCTGTGTAGGTTCCACAGCAAACTGTATGGAGGAAGGTGAAGGATATATTATATATAAAGGATCTGCAAAAGATCCTACAAAGATGTCTTACTTCCATCTATTTCAGTTTGCAAGAGAGTTATGAGAACAAACAAGTACACCTTAATAAAAAGTAAAATCTTGTGAATTAAGCTTATCATTACTGGTATTCTGAAAAAGCAACAGTACTCTTTATTCTACAAGTGTGGAAAAAAATATGATATAATAACATTAAAAATATATGTTTCAGAAGTTTAAAACATCCCTTTAACTGCCATGATAACAGGTGTACTTAATTAAAATCTTTTCTAGTTGAAAGCTTTTCAGAATCCAGGACAGTAAAACAAGTTTTTCATAAAGACAGAGATTCAAATACCTTTCTTTTTATCTCAGCTGATACAGGGTTAGGAAATTATTTATTTGGACTAACTGATCCACCAGCAACTGTTTGAGTGTTTGGTTTTTTAAAATTACATTTCTTTCTTTCCACATCATAAAAAAACTATTTTAGAATCTTGCTAGCTATATCAATTTATTCTATCAAGTACCACAAACAAATGTCATGTAAAGTTAGCAAAAGAAAAACACTGAGTTAGCAGACTTTTAAATTATACAAAGCTATAGTAGCATGTGTATACTCATGGGAAAGGACACTCTCACGTAAGACAGATTATGGTACTTGTAATGCTAATTTGCACATGGGATGGACATCACACACACACAAAAATTAATGTGGCCCCAGTGTCCCAGAGAATACATTGAAGGTGCTGTGAGCCGGCTGCTCCACTTGCAGTTTTTATCACTTCTGAATTGCATTTTAATAGTACATTTTTCTTTTGCTCAGACATGAAAGAAAATTGGCTTTCTCAGGGGACTGGATAGCTGAGAAGACAAGGCTAGCAGTTTAGGGATTTGCCCATATATGCATAGAATTTAGTTGAGCCATAGCATTCATAACTCAATACAAATACTATGTCTGTAAAATTTATACACCCAAAATGGTAAAAAAAAATACTTGAGGAAAGTAGAAGATAAGGTAAACTATTATAGTTTTCCCTATAAAATTTCCTACCTAGAGGTTTTGATTTTACGGTGGATCTGTTAATCTTTGTCTTTTCAGCAAATGAATAGTCAGAATAATCTATGTTCTTTCATGACTCCAAACAAAAAAATACATATATTGTAATGCTTTAAGACACAACTAACAGTAAGTTCTACATGCAGTTTAGCACAAATGTGATCTTCTGCATTCTGCTGCATATCTCCCCTAAGAACATTAACTGGAGTATGTGCCATATAGCCTGGAATGTATGTCTGCGGCTGAGAAAAAAAAAGTAAAATATGAATTTTTGAGGAAGAACATTGAACAATTTAAAAATATTAAAATTTAAATGAAGGTACATTAAAATATAAAAGGATAGAATGGTATAAAGCAGTCTAAAGCAGAAATTTTATTTTTTTCCTTCTGTCTACAGTTGTGCTCTCAGAGCAAGGTGGGAAGATTCTTAGAGCGATAACAATCTAACTACAAAAAAGGATCATACGCTTGCAAATTCAATGTTTAAAGTGAGTAAGAATTTTCATTACTCTATGTTAATAAGTAATTAGAAGAACATTAAAACATTTTTTTTTTTTGTTAAGTAGGGTAACCAAATTAATGGGAGTCATACAAAAGTCATTATACACCCACAACCAATAACAGTAAAAAAGCAATTGCACTGCAAAACACTTCAATGATGGTATTGTATTCTGTAGCTCTACATATACACCTGACACAGCTTTTCCCCAAATTAATGACAGTATGTGCTATGAACGTGACAGAAGAGAGTGATAGAATGAGATGAAAATTAAATCCAGACAATGGTATAATGCCATTATCAACTGCACAAGTTTAGATCTCAATAGGTTTTTTTCCACAAAAAGCTCACTCACAGGATTCTTACACCTAGGTTTCAGCTTTTCCTTGTGATTTAAGTGTAAATTCAGAAATTCTTAAGGGTTTTCAGTAAATATGACAGACAGAAGTAGCAGGATCAAAGAAGAAGTAAATTCTGTATTGACGTTATATCATGCCATAAAACACAGTCAGTATAAGCTGAGCCTTTCCAAAAGTTGATGATTTAACGGGACATGAATTTCCTGAAATAAATAAATTTAAAATGAAAAACTATTGCATTTCATCCACCACGAAATCTTGAATGAGAAATGCCAAAGAATATGTTCAAGATGGGAGGAAAGAGCTTGAACTAAATATGGGAAACTATCTCAGGTTCTACCAATAGCAGTATTACACACAGAGAACCTGAGGGAGAATGAGGATCAAAGCTGGCAGTGTCACTGGTAACAAAGGCCAGTTGCACTATTGCCAGGACCTATGTTGAACTTAATTAGCGTAAAAAGATCTAGAAGCCTTGACTTAGTAGCCAATTCTGGACCTGACAGCTGCTGGTGGTGTGTATTTAAATTTCTAGAGATAGCCTAGATATTTGTTGTTAACAAAAAACAAAATTGCTTTCTCTGCCCCTTTACTCATCCTGTCCTGCACCTCCCTGCTACTATTAATTTGATCTTTCTAATCCTTCTTTTCCCCACATTTTTACCTTCTCATGGTCTTTCTTCCTGTATCTCCTCACCTACCATTTCTTCCCTCCATTCTGTCTCTTTTATTGTAATATCTCTCAGTATTGCAAAAGGAGATGGAAAAAGCTGAAGGCTTTCCAATTGGATCAACCGGGACAATAGAGACATGGTTCAGTAATGGTTTAGTGGACTTGTCAGTGTTAGGTTAAAAATTGGACTTGATGATCTTATAGGTCTTTTCCAATCGAGGCAATTCTGTAATTCTGTAATAGAAGCAGCAGTAGGTATACTAACAAAATACTAACAAAATCTTAACTCTAGATGTGTGATAGTGTTGTTAATTTTTTTATCCAACATGGTTCTACGCAATAGCAATTCAATCCCTTGTTGTCTTGATCTAATTAAAATAAAACAATTTTATCTCACTTTGAAGAAGACCATGAACAATTAGCTCCAAACAAGCTGTGCTTCTCTATCGGAAAGCTGGTTTTTTGTTTTTTTTTTTTTCTTTAAATTAAACATGAAATGAATGTTGAGCTTTCAAATTTGGGTAATACCTGAAGTAATTTCTTCATCAAATCCAACAGTGTTTATCTTTTCATTCAGTGAACAAAGGAAGAAGCACAATTGTTTTCCATAGCAAAACAACGGCAGCAGGGCACCCATTATTTAGTTCATAATGAATGCACATTAAAATCAAAGTGTTACTTACAAAAATAAAGACAGAATATTTTTCTTCACATATCTAGTCAGATTACCTTTAGCACAGCATTTTTGTCATAAGAAATTTATTTGGGGTGCATTATTACACATATCGTCTACAGTAATATACTAAATACATATTTTTTCAATAAACTATCAAACACTTTTAACCTAATGTCAGTAAACCTAAGAATCCTCTGGCCATTTTTGTTTAACCCCTCTCTGCAACAATGTAAAGTGGCAAAGAAAAGCATGGTCTCGTTCTTGTAGTTAGTAAAAGAGATCTCTTCTGCAGCAAATTCTGGAACTTCTTAATTATACACAGACTTATTATCTGCATCCCCAGTGTTATAAAGTACCAGAACTTCATTAGAAAAATTAAGATGGAAAAATGAAGGCACTACTTTGTAAATTTCCAGTGGAAATTAGCTGGAAGAAGCAGAGGAATACTGGATCAAAAGAGGGTAATCATGCTTAACTGTGCCCTAGAGCACCCGCATGTATAATACGATTTGCACAGTAACTACCTCTCCTATTACTGCTTGTTTGGAGTATTCTGTGTTAATGGGGTTAGCTAATTTAGTATTTTAACTTAAAAAGACTCTGCTGATTAATAAATGTTGCACACTGTGCTAGTAATTAAAATAAATGGAAGAGTTACAAATAGAAGTTGAATTGTTAAGAAAACATTATCTGAAAATATATGATAATCCCTGTTTATCATAATACAATAACACCCCGGAAAATATGCTAATTACTGCAGTTGCAAAGCATATGAAAAACTAAGTACAATTTGAAAGAAGTTTCAGATGTGTTATATTTGTATGACTTAAAATATAGTAGCCATTTTCATTGCAGCTAAGTCAGAAATAAAGATCTTATAAATGTAAAAATGAAAAGGTTTTTTTTTAATCTTAAATCTTATCAAAATTACTTGCTTTTTAAATTTTATTACAATTAATGCCAGGCAGCTCATAACACTGATGCTCTCCAAGTATAGTGCTTATTTAGATCATTAACTTCTCTGCAAGTGTACTTTTCATGCACAGCACTGTGTAGCAGAGAAGCACCTAAGCTGGTTCTAAATGAAAGCATTATCTTGCTGAGAATAAGCCCACGAGGAGCTCAGTACTGCAATGTTCGCACAGCATGTGAGAGGCAGGGCGTGCAAACATTGCACTCTGCTGCACACAAGCGAGCCATTGTGCTCAGGACAAGCTTGGTTACCTACAGTACAGCACTGAGCACGGACATAGCCAGAAACTAAGATGACTTGTCTGATGTTACACCAGGAGTCTACAATAAACCAGTAAACCTCAGCCTTACACTACTGCTGTTTTATCCCTATTCTGTCACTACATTGCAACTTATTCTGATGTAGGTTGACTTTATAAAGATGTTTAATAGTATACCTTGAAGCATGAGGCACATTACACAAGACAAATTTCAGAAAAGATAATGAAAATAATTTACATTTCTGTTGTCTGGAAAATAAGGCCAGCGTGCATCTGCATACAACTGATTAAAGAACTTTTCATGCTTAGTGATCTAAATCCACTGGATCCAGCAGGTGCTGTCTCAAACTAGACACTTGTTTATTAAGTGGCCACCCCGAAGGAGTCCAATTGTCATTCCTCTCCAAGTGGAGGGGGAAATCACTTCATTTGTATGAAAAATAGCACAATAAGGCAGTAACTTCAATTACATGAGAAAAAGGAATCATTCTTATTAGGCTAGATTACCCACCTGCTCTTTCATTACAAAATAGGAAATTCCAGAAGTTACTTTAAGTAAGCACAACTCTCTTGTTTTCATTTGTACTACTGCCTGCCTCAAACTCTCCCACAGCTTTTTCAGCATTGTATCAGAAGCAAAAGCTTTCTCAGAGCTTGAAACACTTAGAGAAAACATAGTACCACTTTAAAGAACCCTGATAATCAGAGGTGAGTGGGAATTCTGAATGTTGTTGGAAATTGCAGGTATACACCGACAATTTTTCTATCTTAAAAGATATCACACAATACTCACTCTGGAAATCTACAGATCAAGGATCCAGTTTGTCTTTTTATGCAAACACAAGCTTTCTCAAGAAATGCCACACACTTCACTGTTCATTCTCTCCTTATTTTCTAAAATAGAAGAATAATCAGCATAGGAAGCACTACCAGGAAGAAATACAGTCCCAAAGAACACAATTACATAGAAAAAGACAGAAATTTGTCAATTCATAATAGACACTGCCGAGAAAAAACTACTGTAGAATCTGAGTAACCCTTTGCTCACTCTTCCCTGGAGACCAGCATCCCACACAGCAGCTGCAGCATTACTACTGAGCATTAGTCCTGATGATGACCTGCAACTCTGTCATCACCTTTTCAAGGTTACAGATGTGACCCTTGCATGGTTGGTTGAATATGAAGCACAAACGGAATAATCACAACCTGAAAACATGTAATACAATATGCACTTAGCATGGATGAAGCTGAGAATCATTGATGTTAGGATACTGCTCCTGCGCATTAAGGATGGCACCAAATGCTTCTTTACCCATAAGGTAAATAAAGACCCCTGATAAATTAATATCTGTCAAAGTTGGAGGCTCCAAATTTAAACTGCACAAGACCAAAGCTTTACAATTCAGTCACTGAAGAGAATCAGGGAAATATTTATTACATGATCTGATATTCTGAAACAGTTGACACAGTAATGTCTGAGGTAAACCTCATCAAATAAAGACCGGGCAATATAGTCATGTCTATAAGTGAAGGACATTATCCACCTTCACTAGGAATGCATCAGTCAATGTTTATTCAGTAAAAAGAACACTTTAAATGAGTAGAACATTAATTATTACCTAGTGGTTTGGGTTTTCTAAGTTTCATGGGCAGAATCTGTAATTTTTTTTTTTTTATTTTTTTTTAAATGGCCTAGATTTAAGTTAAGATATGGAAGTTAAGCTGCTTCTCCCTCACCACAATAAATTAAAGAATACAGAGAGGAACAGAAAACTGAAGTACATTTTTACTTGTAACTTAACTCAGTTATGGTTTTGGTATGAAAGGAATAAAAAGTATTATATCCCCTTTTTGGCACCAAATATAAAAAAAATAACAGTGTCTAGAAGTGGAAAAGTAGCCCAACTAAGAATTTTTTTATTTCAAAAATGTTTTTTAGTAGAATTTCAATTTCAAGTTATTGTTAATATTAAATCGGGAAAAATGTGAGGAAAATGATCCAACAATAAAAACATAAAAGCCAAAAACATGAAAATGCAATTGATTCTGGCATTCTTAAGTCCCAGTCCTGAAGCTGACACATGGCAACACAGAGCTGATAGAAAGGCTTGAAACAGATCAAAGATAGCAAAGCATCATGTCCCAATGAATCAGTGGATCACAGGCTGCTCATGAGGAAAAGTGATTCCTTTTTGTCCTGAATTCTGGTTTTAAAGTGTCAAAGGACTGCCAAGAGCCATGAATTCAAGGAAAGAGTTGACAAAACAATTTTTTTCTAGTAAACTACAAAGCCAGAGCACATGGCCTAACAGGCTTTTATTATGATTGAACAAGAGTTCCATCTTGATAAGAAAGTAATATGAAATATTTTGGCAATGGCTTTAATTTTTTTGGGATAGAAGCCTTAAATATTTTGAGATGGATTATATATGCAGTTGGGAATGTATGGAAAAGAACTGGCCTGTCTGACACTATTACAGATGTTATGGCTTAGGAAACCAAACTGCTTAAAGATGATTACAGTTTTTGCATCAAGTTCTAACATGTGCAACATACGCTCCCTTCCCTTCCAAGTGAGCTTTGGCAGTCTACTGGGAGAGAAAGCAAGTCTCATTGGCATGCAACACCATTTTTCCTCCCATAGTCTGTAAGCTCCCTGGATACAAAGACTGAAACAGCGTGTTTTTCCTTGGCAAGGTGTGTGTGGCAAAACAAAATTTGCATTTGTTTTCTTGTTTCCCATTAAGCCCATCTGTTGCATCACTTATTACACATTCTTCTATAGATTCATAGATATGGATGGCACATGTCACACAATTACAAGATAAGAGTCTCTGCCCTGAACAGTTTATAATCTAAGGGCACAGAATTTAGATGTATGTAGAATGTTTGCTAGTAAGCTGTCAGGTTTGACATTTCATTTTGTCAGGCATGAAAGGTTTCTGAAAGCAATGGAATAAAGAAAACATTTTCATAACAATATAAGAAAAAACAAAGAACTTACTCATTGTCATGTATACGGTTTCTCCATTCCTCCCTTTTCATTTCCTCTCTGGCCTTCTCTTGTGGTGAATTGATTGATGCTGCCACTCGCAAGGTTGGTTCCAAAGGCTTGTAGCGTTGCTGCAATACTTCAGCAGTATCGCGGAAAGGCCCCTGAAAGGCATAGGATAATGTAAGTGTTTTATTGTGAGGTTACAGTTCTTTTCTGTCCTTCTTTTATTCATGACACATCACTGATGAAAGAGGACACAGAATGTCTGGGAAGTGCAGCAAGAGTTTTCTTCCAAAATAATTAAAGCAGTTCATTTTGACAGAGAGTTACTGATGACACAAAGGTTGATAACATGCTCTAAAGCTCCAAAGAGTGAATGAGAAATGTGCACTCCAGATTTATCTAACTAAAAATAAATATTTATTATTTTAAAACAATATTTTGTTAGAACTGATTATGAAAACTTAGTTTTTCCTTAGAAAAAATATTGGTGAAATAAAATCTGATACACAACTATTAACTGCATCTAGATTCTGTCTAAGCAGAAAGCTTAAGTCTTTTCCTTTTCAAAGGATAAATAATGCTTTATTTTCAAGAACATGCTCTTTGCAATTCAACTATAAAACTACCTGAAAGAGAACTTAATACATGATTTAAGATACAATTCTTCTAATACAATTCAGACTAATTATTTCAATAATATACATGCATAATTCATTTTTATAAGTTTAATTCCACATTAATTTCATTATTCTTAGAATAAAAAATTAAAGCACATAGTTGTTTCACAAGCCTCTCTCTATATACATATACATCTTTTTTCCAGAGTATATTGCTTAATAACTGATCATATCAGCATCTACCATTTAACAACACAGATAAATAGCAGGAGGAACTCCTTTCCTGCACTGTTAAAGTGACATGTCTTTAGCACTAACCAGTAAGAACTTACCTGGAGTATAATTAGTGCCATAATACGCTCAGGGCACTTTAGTGGCAGCTCTGGATTACAGATGTGTTGCTAATTAATTTTTATTTTATTTTCATCATTGTTGATCCTGCAATGAACTAGTGAAACCTTCTGAAACTATGAACAGACAAAGAATCCCAATCACAGCCTTTATTCTTAAAGATATCCTTCTTTAAATAGGTTATCACTAACAAGTCACAGCTGGAGTTACTGCAAGCACTGAGTGAAGACTGTGGGGCTAATAAAAAGAAATGATTCACGCCTCATTTATGTTCACTTATGTTTTACATTAATAGAAACCAATAATAGGAACCAGTTACCATAAAAGTCATGGACCGTAAATAACACAAATGGCAAATAAGTATCATCTAGTACTTTTCACAGCTGGACAGGAGGATTGCTATATTTGAAAGTAGTTAATGGATTTTTATTGGAACTTTACTTTTTAAAGGCACAGCACGCTGATTTGGAGATTTTTTAAAGGTTCTAATAAGCAAGTGAGCATAATATTTACACTTCTTGCAGATATTTCCTTGATTCTACTTTCTAAGTCTGTGAAAAAAAATACTTTCATTTAATATGACCACAATAACTCCTTAAAAACAGAATGAAAAGCATTTTCCTCTGTGAGAGAATAATAATTATTAGAACAGGTTATTAAAACTAGTAAGGAATGTTCTAGTAATATATAATCTGATGATCAAGTTATTGAAAAAAAATTAAAATTTACAATAAAAATGCATACTCTGTATTGCAAGATATTTGCATGAAGTGGATATATGAAGCAAAGAAGAAATAAATGTACTATTGTCAAATAATATCAAGATAAATATGTTTGCATTTAGAAAATAATCTTTCAGAATATTGTATTTCTTCTTCATTGTAAAATATTAACTCATATTCCATCAGGGTAAGGGCCAAATCAGATATCCAAGCAAGGTTTTTTTTTCCATTTTTAATTTCTAAGACGTTCTAACTCTTTCTCAATCCATAGTTCAAATGAAATTAATAGAGTCCAACTATTAATGGAAGGAAGGGGGAA